TGAAAAATTAAAATATTTATTCATTCTGATTTAGAACATCACACTATACTGAGTTATCTATGAGCTGCAGGCACAAAGAAAAGCACCAGCAAATGCTGTACTCATTGCTCTGTAAGCCAGCAAGCTTCACTTTATGTTAACTTCTTGTACAGTGTTTGGAGTTGTGAAAAAACACCAGAAATAGTCTATACATCTCCCTATATTTAGTAAATGTAGGCCTAAAATGGCATAAAGAATTAAATTGTTAAGTATTGTTTATTCCAAATTAAAACAGATAAAACTTAAATAATTATATACAGTCCATCATTTAAAAAGACACGTTTGCTTGTAATTGTAGGGCAAGTATTTTACACAGTGATTTAGATTTGCAATGCCTATTAAATGTGTTATGAGTGCCCTAATAAGTCTAAAACTGTAGTTCTGAAAATCTCAGGTAGGGTCAATTTTGACTATGCATCATATAATTGCCTATGTGCAATATATTTTAAATATGTAAACATGATTCATCCACAATCTCTCAGCCATGAATAGTCCTATCTCGTATTTCTCCATCCCCAAAATTGCATTCAATGTGCACAGTATGTTTGTAATTTTCCTCCATCTCCTGTTGAGTGGGATTGATTTTGATTTTGTCTATGCTTTGGGTTTACGTTCAGGATGAAAACTAGTGTTTAGAGAGTCCTCTCATAGTGAATAGTTGGAATATCTTCTGCGCAATCAATCCATGTATAATACAGAAATTGAAATAAATATAGCTGCCATAATTTCTGGTGACAAACTGCATTCTAACAGAAAGGTCATTCAGTTTATTAGTCAATACATCCTGAGGCAAAGCTAAAGTTAATATAGAAGTAATAACTGATTTCAGCCCCTGTTGATGTCTGACCAAAGTAGTTAGAAGGGCAGATGGTATGAATGTCAATTTTCACATCATCATCTTCTAGACCAGATAGCATGTAATTATAGGCAGCTGAGCACAAATGTGCAATTACAGTCACTGGAAGCTGCAGATACTTCTTATCCATTTATTTGGAAACGTTCATTTTTTTTTTTTACAATTTTATTCTCCATGCTAAAAGCTGTCTGCAATATTAAGTTCTGGAGGAAAAAGCATTATAGACTTTCAAGTTTGTATGTTACTATGGAAGATTCTGTTTAGAATTTTTTTAATTCATCTGACAATTTTTGGTGTCAAAAGCACAGAGAAATTTCCTTTTCTTTTTGTACCACATAGTACTAGAAAATACCAGCTTAGGTCTGATGGTAAAAATAATTTAGGAAAAGTTCAGGGGAAGGCAGTCTGCCATGTACTTTAAAATGCAAACTTTCATCTGGAGATGCATTTGAAAAATACGAGGAAACCAGGCAACTCTCAGGAGCCTCACATTTGATGGAATCTTTTTGTTCGTTTGTTTTCCCTCAGATAACTATCAAGACTATACAGTCTGGGAGAAGTCTATACTTTTCTCCTAAAGCCTGTGAAAGTTGATCATAACAACCTGCTGCCAGAAGTACATGGGAGGTAAATAAAGTGGAGTTAGACTCAGAGAACAGCATTTCCTTAGAAGCAGGCTGCAAGCGTTTGCTGAAGTTGTTCCACTCTGCCATGAGAAGAATTGTTACAGTTGCCATGGGAATATAAAGTGAGATATAAAGCAATTGTGGCTAATAAGGAAGGAGGAGATCCAGGAGGCAGCAAATGAAGATGATATCAAGTATGAAGTTGTTAAATGGAAATCTGTGTCAGTGGATCTCAAACTTTCTCCCCACTCCCCCTTTTTGATGCAGTGCCTGTTGCATGCCGTAAAGTGTTTCCAGCATTGCAAGCAGGCAGAAATCATGAGAAAACAACATTGCTTTGTGCTGCCCACTGCCTCCTGTGCCCCTTAAGGTCTTTTGGGCAATCTCCCTGAAGTCAATCCAGACACCACTTATTTTGAAACACGGAACAGTCCTGGATTAAGCGAGATTTTAGAATACAGTTTCATGTTTGCAGAGTGCTAGGAACCAGAAAACACAAAGAACTTGCTTAGCTACATAACACAGAGGAAATGTGCCTGTATAATGGGTATTGCCTGATGTGCTGGCTAAAGCAAACTTCTGTTTTGCATCTTTTACACTTCCCACAATGTTCTCTAAATCCTGTGTTTGTTTGGGCTTTTTTCTCCGCTATTTGGAACATGAAGGACCTTGTGTTAACTAGAATGGTCTGCCTTTGAAGCTCAGAGGCAGTTTTTCTTCTCCAGACATCAGGAGTAAGCAATTATTCCCTGCAATTCTCTCACTTCCGTTTCCTTCTGCAGTGCAAAGTGGAGTGAAAGGAAAAAGAGGACAAAGAAAACCTCTCTGTATTTTAGCAAACACTGTAATAGAAATGAAATTTCTGATTTTAACTTTGTACTTTATTTGCATAATAGGGCCTTTAGTCTCAACTGTAATACTATCCTTACTCCTTACAGTGCTATTACTCCTTATGGTCATTAAAGACTTGATTAATTTGTCTAAAGATAGCTTGGTCTTTGAGATGCCCTCAGCTACCCAGGACATCTGCAGAAGGCTGGAATATATGATACAACTTACAGGACACCTGCATCCTTCCTGGCAGCAGAAGATCAGTTGGGATACCCGAGGGTATCCTCAAGTGGCACTGGATGCTTGTAGTTGTGCGGGCAGCTGAACTGAGCCCTCTCCATAGACTGTAACGGTAGCTTAAACACCTAGCTCATACGCAGTTAGGCAAATTTTACCCTGTAATGCTGAGCCAGGTATAAGTTAAATCTCCAAGACTTTTCAGTCACCTCGATTCCCTGGCAAATGAGCCAGAGAAAAAATATTAGCCGGACTTGCTTCAACAAGGATTTCAGGATTTAGCCCCAAATGCTTAGTTGTCTCATTCTTTTACAGCAGAAAGGTATGTAAGAAGAGTCATTCAATTTTCTGTCCAATCAATTTGTACAAACAGTCTTCTGATGAAAGTCACAATCACTTTTTGACATATTTAATAATGCCTGTTGATGTGCAAGTTAAATGTAATTTGAAAGCGTACACATAAAGATAGAGCTAATGTTCATATTCTACCAACGTTATCCACTCTTTTAAATACTCTAAACCACACCAAATGACTGTGGTCATATGTCTATTATTTCAGAAAACAAAATCTAGTCATGAAATTACTCTTCCCAAAATGTAACAGAGCAGATTGTGTTGCTGAAATGCTTAATTCTTTGCAGTCTTTATTTATTCTCTAGTAATGCATGCCATTGCATTGAATATAATCTATTCTGTTGTAAAATTAATGGCTTACTTTATTCTTTCTTTCTGGCTGTAAAACTAATGTCTTACTTTCTTCTGTTGGCGAGGGTTTCTTCACTGTCTCTTGAGAATATCTTCAACCTTTGATTATATTTGTTCTGATCAAAGGAGCAACCTGGAGACTGAGTAGGCTTCCTTACAGGAGGACCACATACCTTGTTCACCTAACAGGAAAAAAAGCCACAAGAAGGAAAGAACATATGTAAACAAAAACTATTATGTATCTCTCAATTCAGTTTAAGTCCATTTTAATAAAAAAGAAAGTTCTGTGGACATTAAACTAAGAAAAATATTATTAATTATCATACTTCTCAACACTATATCCATAATGAATGCAGTAAACACATACTTAGTCACTTCATAGTAGAAAAAAACCAACAAATAAAATCACTCCTTTTGAAGGAATACCAGGTGTATAAGCAAGCCACCACATGTATTATCTTGATTGTGGCTTTTTTTCCTTCCTGTAAGGAAAGTGTATTGTTATGCAGACAGTAACAGTAACCTCAGAGAACATGATGTGTTGTGAACAGCGACATCCTTCCATTTTTTCTGTAATATGCCCCAATCACATTTTTAATATGCATTGAACTTTGTGATTTCTTTCAGGGTTGACAAACTATTATGGCATGTTCGGCATAGTTACCCAGAGCATATAGTGAACAGTTAGCACGGTGGAAACTTGCATTACAACGTTGCAAGATGTAAATTTAATGATCCAAGATGTAAGTTTAATGATTCGGACCATAGATGTTGAAAATATCAAGGGATTTTATATGTCTGGCTTTCTGATCTAGATGTCAATAGATACAAATTCACATGAACTCCCATTTTCTTCTTTATAAAATGTGATGCTGAGCATTTTGTACGATACAGCATATCAATTCATGTTCATAGCTCATTATTCTTACTAGTCACTGAATAAAAATAATTAGGGGCATACATATTTATTAAATAAGAGATACTTCATGCTGGAGATCACATCAAACAAGATATTAAGCGGACTGAACTGCACATATTTTGTGTAAGCTAGCATGCATGCACTACTGAAAAACTAATAATGTATGTGACTTATGAAAACTTAGTTTCAATCGTTAGTCAACTTTTTTTAAAAGAAAAAGGGACAGAGGAGATCACTGTTGGCTCTAAGACAGGGATCCAATTTTTGAAGCAGAAACATATTCAAAATGCAATCATGGGAAAGAGGAAAGGGTGTATATAATATACAACAAAGATTACTGTTTCCTGTGGCATTTTATATCCCCAAATGTAAGAACACAGCAAATAAATCTTATTTTTCAAGTTACCATCACACACATTAAAGAGAAAAGTGTAAGTCTTGGGGACCACCTATCCAACTAAGAACTGCTGTAGTGTTAGTTAAGAAATAAATTTAAAATTTAAAATTAATAGATCTAACTTTGATGAGCTTGTTGTGCATTGTGTAAGTGGTGATAATGAAAGACTCATTGAATGTACTTGCTTAGGCCAGCCAAAAAGAGAAAGACTCAGCATTATTACTACATACGCATTCACCTTACGAATTGAAAGTGAGGGTAAAATTGAAAGTCCTTTTTGGCTGCAATTCAATGTCTTAATTTAGGCATCCAAGTTATAGTTTGAATTCCCTTCAAATGAGGAGCATGAATTTACCTGCAAGATAATTGTCCCTGGACAAATGGTTAATGTCCTTTAAGGGACTTAATGGGATACACTTTAAACATCACTTGAATATTCACCTCACCATTTCTTATCAGAGGCAGTCTTTCCTTGGACAGCATCTTACTACATTTGTTCTTGTCCTCAAATTCAGTTTCAAACCTCCCTCATACTATTTCCCCCATTAGTTCTTCTTCCGAGCACATTATCCCGTGCTCTCCATCAGCTTCACTGGACACTCATTTCCCGCCCTGTAATTCTCTAGACTCTTTCTAGGCTTCACCCATCCTTGTGCGAGTCAGTGCTGCATTTCACCAGTCTCTGCAGCAGTCTATCCCATCAGCCACTCTACATCAATATAACACAGAGTTACCACAGACAAAAAATGTTTTTGTCCTTTTACTTGTCTCCCTTTGCTCATATTCTCTTACGTTCACTGATGTAACATGGGGAGCAATATGCTTACGAGCAGCTTCTATGACAAAGCAACTGGTTGGTTGAGTTGCCTCAGTTCCAGCTTGCCATACACTCTTCAACAACTCTTTGTCTTATCAAGAATAAAAATAAGGGTTTAACAGACAGAGTCAAATCGAGACGTTTGGGAAGGAGGGTTTGTCGCATGACAGGCATGGGTTAGGTGTGTAGGTTGTGGTAGGTCTTAGGTGCCTTGTGTGTCTGAAAGGGGCACCTCAGCTGTCCAGGCACTCTCAGAGACTGACCGCAGGGTGGGTCTGCAGAACATGGTGGAGACAATTCACAGACCTTCAACAGATAAGTACCAGTCCTTTGGATTAGGGAAAAAAAGAAAAACAAAAAAACAATTGGTTCCAGTTATAGTAAACTGAAAAAACATATGCATTCAGATCCACTAGGAAGGCAGGAGAATCCACAGCTATCTGTATTTCTTGAATTTACAATAAAATCTCATTACATTTTACTCTTGACTAAACCGAACAGATAAAGAAAACCAATAATTTTTACAGTCATAGTGGTTTGGAATATGGATGATATTTGTTTTATATGTATTATACAGTTGCTTCAAAATACTTTCTAATGACTTTACTCTCTGTTTATTCTCTTTGAGTGAATGTCTCAAGAAATGTGTTGTGCAATACCAGGAAATATGCCTTCACTGATACATTTAAAAATAAACCTTCGTTTCAAATATAAAATCTTTCTTAAAAAAATTAATCTTGGGTAAACTTTATATATAAATACCATAAAAATCCTGTCATTATCTAAAATATCTTTTTAAGAACTGACTTTTTTTCCAAAAGCCATTTTTGGAAAATTCTGAAAGCAGCATTACTTAAATGATACAAAGTGGTTGCACAGCACCGCGTACACCTCTGCCATTCCCACAAAGTGCACGGCAGTGATCACGCTGCTGAGAACTCAGTTCTGTTAAAGACAGGAACAGCTCTCACAGCTGAAAGTTAGCTCACCAATCTTTAGCAAAGTCACTTCTTCAGGCAGAGTTTCTGCAGGATGAGCTACTTCAGCATGTACAATGATGATATCACCTCTGTTACCTTCCTCATATCTCTGATATTCAAACCCCTGGGGCCACTGACTGACTGACTGGTATTGTGTGGTGTTGGTTCTTTTTGTCTTTGGTACATCGCACTTGTATCACTCACCCAGCTGAACCCAATCTGTCTTTTTTTTAACTGTTCACTAGTGGCTGTCACTTTTATGTCACATTCAAAACATTAACTGCATATGTATGCCAAATGTACTTTTGCCTCCTTCACTTGCCCAGTCTTCATTGTCACCTGGTTTCTTCAGTAAACTTGTGCTCACAAAAAGGTCATATACTCTTATCTTGCCTTCAGGTGCCTGTTCTGTCTGTGAGCCAAATAATTTAAAACCAAAATGTCAGTATCTCATTTCCCAGTACAGGGCTGATGATAGCCTGAAAAACAGATAAATATACTTTCCATAATAATGTCTGCTTTTTGTTTTTGAAATGCATTCTTTACATCTCCAGGAATGAGTACACGATACAAGTGTAACTACACTTAGTTGTATTTCCCCTATTTTCTGAACGACAACTATATCCATTAGCTACATTATTTCTTAATTTTCAGTCTTTGGATTGCAAAATTAACCTTCCAAGTCAAAAATCATTCAGTGCCATTACCACCAGTCTTGAGAGACACAGACTAGAATCATAACTTATGAGACCATAAGAGAAGTGGAATGCTCTCACTACAGTCATGATCTACCAAATGACCATTTTGAAGCACTATCTGATCAGAATGTATTCTTTCTATCTTCCAGTTTCACTGAAGGGGTATTCCCACTGAATATTTCCACAAACTGAGCATTCTTCTTGGCTTCAAACACAAAATCCTAAGTGTATAAAATGATTCTTGAAGGGGACTGAAAATACCCTGAGAAAAGTGAGACTGAAAAATCACCAAAAATATTATTCAGGAGAGAATTATCCATCTCACTAAATTTCAGGAAGAATTAAAGACTGTTGCAAAATTTTAAACCAGACAAGCCTCACCAACATACTAGAGGTTCTTCTTTTTTTTGTTGTTGTTCAAATGTTCTCAAATACCGCCTAATATTTAAAGGCATAAAGAGAAATCTCAGAAAATGATAAAGCTCCTGATTTTCACAGTTCCAACAAACCTATTGTCATTATACTCAGCATGCTGTTATTATGTACAATTTGTATGCCACAGTATGATGACTGGGTTAATTAAAAGCTCTTGTAATAACCATGCAGTTAAATTGCAATTAGTGCCACACATGAACTTTATGGCAGTTTGATTTTGCTTCGTGTAATTCCATAGAATGTCTAATTATGGTTACAGGTTGGAAAACCGGAGCATCATAAATCTTCATATTTACACAGGATTGGACAATGAAATGGGATACTGTCCTCTAAGTTCACGTGCTCAATAAGAGAAACCAGTCACATTCTTTGGGCTTTTTTTTTTTCCACTATAGAAATGGTTCTTTCTGACCTCAGCATTTCTTTCTGACCTCAGCATTTCTTTCTGACCTCAGCATTTCTACTAAAATGATTTTACATCAAATGACCGAAGCAAACCGAATGCACAGTCCTGTGGCGCACTTGGAGCAAGATAAGCCAAGTCTCGGTGATTAGCTATGCGATAATATTTAAATGCTGCCACTGTGCCAGAAATAAATCTCAGGAATCCTGAGACTCTCTACTCCACTTTGGGTCATAGGCTGTTGTGAAATACACTGCAAAGATGAGCATCTTCCAGTCGTGCAATGTGTCTGTGGCCTGTTCACTGGTTCTGACTGCTGTGCATAGAGTAATCGGGAAAAAACACTTCTCTAGGTACAAAACCCCTTGGGCCAAGACCCAGCTCTAGCTGGGAACCAGAACTCGGAGTCTGAAAACTGCCCTTTCTTTTACGTTTAACTGTTTCATGTTTGGTTTTGGTAAGCTCAGCAAGCACTGTAAGTGTTTGATACAGGTATCCAGGATTTCTTGTCAATGGGGTATGTGTCAACGATT